GTGTAAGGAAGTTAGGAACATATATGGTTGTGATTACCTAAAAATATTTTAGATACCAAATATTAAACTTTGAGAGAGTGCGAAAAGAAAAATGAACGCATTATTCAATTTGCATTTTTGCTGGATGGAATGTTGTAGAGTCATTGGAGAGGTACAAATTGCCTTTCTTTAGAACATAACTTGTAGGTCCAAAGTTGAGCAGAGAAGTTCAAATTGGGCGAATGGACTTCTCCAGTTTTGCAAATGTCAAGTTATACCAATTTGGTCATTTGGTTGGAAGGGACCGAGCTAAGTAGTTAAATCGCTACTCGGTCATTTATAATCTAATTTTTTCCAGCTTTTATAATATCCACTGGTAATTTATAAATTCTGTAGTATCCCACTTTAGTCTTAATTATTCAGATTTAACCCAAAATAAAAACAAATTACTGATGACTGAGTAACTCGGCTTGTGAACCTATTCACCGAGTAGAGAAAATTGCCTAGTACTCTAGTTACTTGGAATGTTGGAACAGAACGAGTTAGTATGCTATTGACAAGGTCCTACCCCGAGTAGCGAGTACTCGCCGATTAGATAACATAGGGACATCGTCTTATGGCTGTGGTTTGCCAATTGACATCCTTTTGGTCTACCTGTCTTGTCTCCTATTGGTTGCTTTTGTAGATGCGATTACTTATGCAACTGTTGTGCCACACGAGTTTTGATATTACCAGTCATCCTATATTTGAGAATACCATGTTCTGCCTCTCTGTTTCAGTTAAATTTAGAGACTGAAGTGTTCTTATAAGTTTTATTGGACATTTGAAGTATTTTCTATTAAAGCTGCGAACTCATGTGTTGTATACTGTCAGCTGGATTTAATATCATTCAGCTGTAGTCATTTAGTAATTACTCCTGACGGATTCAGCTGATTTTGTGGCCTATTATTCTCCAACTCTTCTGGTCTACCTTCACTTGATTGGACTTATCAGGCCAACTATTCTGATTTTCTTCACAAATCAGCTTTATTATTATGGCATTCTCTAGCATTCAGCTTCAATTCAACTCATATGCTTCTAATATGGTGGTCATTTGTTGACACCTTTAACCAACAATGGGGTAGTTTTATGGTCAGAGAGGGTTGCTTAAATGATTCAACTTGGTTTTGTGTTACGGACCAGTTTTGTGGTCGTACATATAAAAAAAGAGATCGAAGGGGGACAGATGAAATTAGGAAACAAAGTGGCTAAGGAAAAAGGCCCAATCAAGCAGAAGAGTCATATTAGTATTAGTATTAATAATTAATATTAGTTAATTTTATTTGCAATGGAGGCAAAGATTCATTATTTTTTGGCTTGAGAATATGATGGAATAAAGCAAAATGGCTCACTAAACTGTCTGCGCTTCTTTGTTATGAAGTAGCAGTTAGCCCATGCAATTTTGGACGCGATTTTCACTATGGGTCATCCGGAAACAGTCTCTCTGTGCTTCAGTACAGAGGTAAGATGGCGTACATCCGACCCCCCCTTACCCCACCGTAGGTGGGAGCCTTTGCGGCACTGGGGTAAATGAAAATGAAATGATTAGTTAATCCTATTTGGGCTAGTCTTCCTTTATTATAGTTGATCTTATTTGGGCTAGTCTTCCTTTATTATAGTTAATCCTATTTGGACTAGTCTTCCTTTATAATAGTTCCATTAGAATAGCAATTTACTGTAGGAAACCCTTAATATCTATATAAAGGGTTCTTCATTAATTTAATAAAAACAGGCTTCCAGAGAATTCATTCTGGGATTTCTTGACTAGGTAGGAAACCAAAATTAATTCCGTTAAGTCCCTTTATGTCCAGCCTTTCTTCAGATTTAATTAAACATAGATCCAGAATTGTTTGTTTCTTTCTCTTCTCATTCCTACTAGGGTTCCCATTCCAGACCTTGGACAAGGTTGCAAACCCGTGCCCTTAACAACTTGGTATCAGCGCCCGAGACGATGGGGAACGCTGAACGAGTCTACTACTGCCGATTCACTGAAGATCATAATTGAGAGTGCCGACCAACGACAGCTGGCTGTGGAACAACTGGCCACCCTTCCGGCAGCCATGGAGACCCTCGCCTCAACTGTGCAGAAATTTGGCACAGCGCAGGTACAATATCTCGGCCATATTATCCATATCAAAGGCGTTGAGGCTGATCCAGCCAAAATCCAGGCCATCACTGCGTGGCCTACACCACGATCGGTAACAGCTTTACGTGGTTTTTTGGGGCTAGCCGGTTATTACCAAAATTTATTCACCATTATGGTGAGATTGCCAGACCACTCACACAATTATTGAAGAAGAGTGCCTTTTCCTGGACCGACGCAACTGAACAGGCGTTCAACGACCTCTAACTGCGCCTTTCCTCTGCCCCGGTTCTCCAATTACCTTATTATGACAAGGAATTTGTAGTCGAATGTGATGCATCAGGATCTAGTTTTGGGGCAGTATTATAACATGAAGGCCATCCCATTGCATATTTTAGTCGCAAGATTGCTGCCTGCCATGTTAAGCTCGCAGCTTATGAACACAAATCGATAGGATTAGCAAAAGCAGTCACTCATTGGCGACCCTATTTATTGGATCTGAATTCCTTATCCGGACTGATCATTCCAGCTTAAAACATTTAGTGGATCAATGGCTCACTACGTCCCCATAGCAAATTAATGGGCTTTACTTTCCGGTTAGAATACAAACCGGGACGCTTCAACACTGTTGCGGATGCCTTGTCTCGACAACATGAATATGTTATTGAAATGGCAGCACTCACAGTTCCTTTCAATACTCTCCTTAGTGAAACCCGGTCTGAAGAAGCTGCTTCCCCGATCCTGAACAATATCCGTCAGGAAATCTAGGAGGGGAGTGATGTTACGGACCAGTTTTATGGTCGTACATATAAAATAAGAGATCGAAGGGGGACAGATGAAGTTAGGAAACAGAGTGGGTAAGGAAAAAGGCTGAAGCAAGTCTTCCTTTATTATAGTTAATCCTATTCGGACTAGTCTTCCTTTATTATAGTTTCATTAGAATAGCAATTTACTTTAGGAAACCCTTAATATCTATCTAAAGGGTTCTCCATTAATTTAATAAAACAACTTTTCAAAGAATTCATTCTGGGATTTCTTGATTAGGTCGGAAACCAAAATTAATTCCTCTAAGTCCCTTTATTTCCAGCCACTCTTCAGATTTAGTTAAACATAAATCCAGAATTGTTTGTTTCTCTCTCTTCTCATTCCACCAGGTTCCCGTTACAGACCTTAAACATGGTCGCTAACCCGTGCCCTTAACATTTTGCCACATAGGTTTGAAGCCCCACGTGCGCTGCGTAGAGACTCGCTGAAGGATTTAAGCTTGCTGCTGCCATTAATTTCAACCACCACAAACTGTTATCCTGTAAACCTGTAGTTCCTTGGGACGATTTACTTCTGGCTTGTTCTGACAGGGTGACTGCGTCAATACCAGGGTTTGCCGCTGGACTACAGGTGGCGGGCTCCACAGCTGCTGTGTTATGATAGGCTATGCCGCGGCTGTGAAGGGGTGAGCCCCTGGTTGAAAAAGACTTGTCTTATTGGACGTTCGGCTTTTCACACAACTTATAACAAAATTACATAAGCCTAGTTGTCATGAAATTTTAATACATTTCATATTTCATCATAGAAATCTAAAATCTTTTTAGAACATAATATCTTTTTCCACTTGTTTTGGACATTGCAGCTTTGGAAGTCTTTGTATGATTACCAGTTTACGGTTTACCAGTTAAGAGCATCCATTGAAATTAAAACGCTTTGGTATATTTACTCTTTGTTTATTGTTATACAGCACCAAACAGTACACTGACAGTAAGTTCATTTCAACAAACTTTTAGGTGTGTTTGACAGCGCCTGCTATCTTTTGAGTATCTTATGATTACTATTGTACCAAATTTGATTTTGGTCCAGTTTTATTGGGTTTCTTGTATTTTGGTGGTGTTATCCAATATTACAAGAACGAGAACCCATTTACAGTCCTTTGAGTGTTCAAGGAGATAATGAGATCAGGGAGTGGTATAATGGGGGACATGGTCATCCATACACCCGCGTGGGTTGCAATCAGTCAAGAAGTCTTCATCATAACACATGGCGCCACGAGACATGTGTACAGGCATGTCCATCAACAAGAAACAGCCTTATGCATGGAAGACAACACAGCTTGTGGGCAGCCGTGTGCACTTACGTTTTTTACAGCGTACAATGTTCACATGGGCTGCATGATATGCTTTACGCCACATAGGGATGCAGACCCTTCTCTTTTAAATAGCTGCGAGTTTTCTTTTAAACGGGTCATCCTCTTGCACGTTTTCATAGAGAATGCCATAGAACATTGTAGTCTGGTGGATTAAACTCGTTATAACTTTCAATTACAATCTATGAGCAGTAACTCTCCCCCCCCCCCCCCTTAGTATTACTGTCTTTTGTTATGGTTAGTAAGTAACCTTATAAAGTATTGTGATGGGTAAAGTGGCATTAATGTATCACTTAGGGCATTTGTCAAAGGGATTTGAGTGCATTATAATCGTATAACTTGTGATGTTGTATGTTTCGTTTAATTCTGTTGCCATCATAGAAGGCTGCTAGGGCGCTTGCATGTATAACCTCTTAGTGAGAACTAAGGTGGTCCCTAGACACACACTCACTTGCCCACTTGCTAAGAGTTTAGCACAATTAAGGGGCAGGTTATGCTTGTTCTGCTGTTTGTGATTGACAATGATCAAAACTACAAGAGGTAAGTCATTATGAGATTGGCGATGGTAGAGAAACAGAGATGGAGGGAGAACGGTGTGTGTGTGTGTGTGTTTGGTATGGGGCGTGTGTATTTGTGGTAAAGGAGGGCCAGCACTAGGTATATAATGATTTTTTTTCATGGATTCATGAAAGCCGTAAGTGAAATCTACTTTTAATGTTTTTTTCATTGATTGGCAAGTGAGATCTGCTCTTGAACTTATTACAGGATGACATAGATATAATTTCTTCAGCATATGACTCCCTTTTATTGAAGTTCCCATCGTGTCACTGGTATTGGCAACGATATGCTTATCACCATGCACGGCTATGCAATGGTAATAAGGCTGTTGAAATCTTTGAGAAGGCAGTTGAGCTAACCCCATTCTCTGTTGGATTGTGGTATGAATATTGCAACTTTGCCATAACTTATTCTGATAATGGAGATAATGTTCGCAGGTAAGTTCTTGGACATTTTCCATGCAGTAATTGTATGGAGTAAATTTTTCCTCGAATTGTAATGACCTGCTGCGTTTATGATATTGCAATTCATGCATATTGAAAATGTGTTAACTGAATACTAGTAGAAGTTCGTAAATCAGTCCCATACTCCCATAGTAAATGGAAATTACTCCAATGCATCTCGCCCATGAGACAATGAGTCTTGGTGAGAAGCTTTAGCAGATCTTAGGTCCTTACACATCATTGGTTCACAAAAAGAAGGTAGAGATATGCAAGGACGCACAAGTGCATGTGTCGACAAGTAATTTTGTGACTGGTGGAATTTTGAGTTTTGAATCCGAATAATTCCTACAACAATAACAACAGTATCATTATTATTTTATTATTATTCCTATTATGCATGTATTCATTAATAATATTAATATTTAATAAGACTATATAATTGTAATTATTAAGATTGTCATTTATATTATTGTTATGAAATTATTTGTTAATGGCTACAATACGAATCGGGTCCAATGCCATTGAGAACTCGGAGGAAGTGAAGTATTAGAACTATGGTTTCTAGAGTAAAAATTTAAATCTCCCACCCTAAGAAAAGAAGGTTGTTGCTGGATACAGTGAACACAAATTAAGAAGTAATACTCCAAAGGTAAATTATTATTCCAACAAAAAGGATGTATGTAGGGAATGACGAGTTTATTCATAATAGGAAAGATTCTACTATTAGAACTCATCATAATTAAGAACTGAAAGTAATAAGGAAAGCTAATAAAAGGAAGTAATATATAACTTGATTCTTCAAGCAGGCCCATTCAGCAAATTTTAAATAAATATATTTTGAATTTAAATATTTACCTCTTCTCAAAATTTTTAGTACAAACAATGCCACATTATATGAAGAGTGTGACAATGTTAAAATAATGTCATTGTCACAAAATTGTCACAATGCTACAAATAATGTCAATGTTATTGAAATGTCACAATGTTAAAAACAGTTAATCTTGTAAAAAACCATAACATTACTAAAATACGTCACATTTGAAAGTAAACTTTTTGGCAAACTTGGAAATCATATCAATGTCATAATAATGCCATAATCTTAGAATCATATTAATGTCACCAAAAGCATCATATTGTTAAAAACAATGTAGATGATTTAGATAGTTATCCAAAACGTCACAATGTTAAAATACCCACACTGCCATGCATGCCAATGTTGGCATTTCATACTTATTTACATAATTTTTTATAATCATTTGATGATACACATCTCCATATCTTTTATGTGCTATACAGACTGTTTCAAAAAGGCATGACTATTGTAGGGAAGGATTATTATTGTCATGTGCTATGGGACAAATACATATTGTTTGAATTCTCCCAGCAGAAGTGGGCCCATCTTGCCAATGTTTATGCTCAGGCTCTACATTTCCCTACCAAGAAACTACACAAATATTACAAAATGTATGCCTTCTTTTACTTCTATGTTCTATCATCTGATGCTGATGTCTATACCCATTTATGAATATTGTATGTTTGAGTGTGTTACATTTAAAGGGCATGAGACTAAAAAAAATCTGTGGGTGTGTCTAAAATGAAATGCAAGGATTAAATTATAAAAGTTTATCATGCTAGTTTTTAGTAATTTTCTGCTGTACAAGAAGTAATTTACACTAACCTTGTATAGGATAGCCATATGATTGCTTTTAGTGTTTCATGATGGTGTTGTAGCTGAATACAGCCCCTCGGTTTATGTACGATTATCAGATATTGATTTCTATGCATTTAATTTTTTGTGCACAAGTCTGTGTAGTCATCGTTGTTTTGCTACGACTCATTAAAATATTTGGCTATGCATTTTCTAGCTTTAAGGACCTTGTAACCGCTTTGGAGGATGAGATTCAATCTCTCAACAATGGAAACCTTGAAGTGCAAGCTGACCCTTATAAAGATGCATCTGCACTATCTGACAAAGAGATCTCTCAGGTTGTCAATGACCTCTGGGATCCTTCTGATATATCTGTGAGGTGTAAAGCATTACATAGGTACAAAGTTATTGGAGATCAGCTGTATGAGAAAGCATGCCAGCTTGATAAAAAAATAAAAAACTTTGAGTCGAACATTCGGAGGCATTATTTTGATGCAACTCCTTTGGATGATGATCAACTAAACAATTGGCATCAGTATCTTGACTTTATTGAAGAGCAAAAGGATTTTGATTGGGTAGGCTTTATTTTTTTTACATCCGTTTATTAGGACTTATGTTTGTTCATACTTCATAGTTTAGAGTTCCACATGTGATGTGTGCAGGCACTGAAACTTTACGAAAGATGCTTGATATCATGTGCTAACTACCCTGAATTCTGGATGCGCTATGTGGATTTCATGGAGGCTCAAGGAGGACGAGAGTTGGCAATGTTTGCTATAGAGCGCGCAACAAAAGTATATCTTAATGTAAGGTTCTATTATTTGGTTTGTAGGTATTTCTGAAGTATTATATTAGTAATCACTTCGGTGGCATATTATTCTCACTAACTTAATGTATTATACGTCATATGGTTGCTTGATTGCTCTTTACTCTTTTTATCCTTTTATGAATTATTATAAGTGTATACTCATCCTAGCTGAACCAAAATGTTATTCATCTGTCAAATGCAAGGAAATCATTTAAACAGAATATTTTAAGTGTGAAATGATTGAATGTTGGTATGTTTAGTAAGGGACCGCTTGTCATTAGGACAGGCAGGATTAGCCCGGCAGGCTTGTCCATTGAAATTAAATAAATAATTACATATTTTAATGTGTATTTACATTTTACAGAACATTCCCGGGTTCCATCTATTTTCTGCAAGATTCATGGAACAAATACAAGATATAGATGGTGCTCGTGCCTTCTTTTCTAATTATGACCCACGTTGTGATATCTATATCATTGAAAGTGTTGTAAAACAAGCAAATATGGAATGGCGACTGGTACATGTCAAGCTCTTTAAATTTCCCTCAACTGGAGAGACATTCTCAATAATGAATTACGGACACTTGGATTACTTAATTGTCAGGGAAACCAAGAAGCCGCTTGTGAGATTTATGAGAAAGCACTAAGATGGGCAACTTCAGATAAGGAGAGAAAGTTTTTTCTTCCAAAGCTATACATCCATTATTATCATCTTAAATGCGTGGTAGGCAATTAAGTGTACCCTAATTTTGCAGCATTGAATTTCCAGCCAATTGTCATATTGTTTATACCATAGTTACATAGATCGTGAAAATAACCACGATCTGCGTACCGGTCGTTCCATACCCAATCGCGGTACAAAAGCGATCCAGTTGCTACGGGAATGCTATGCGGTACGCTAGGAAGGAACGATCTCAATCGTTTTTACAGTCGCTTGTAGACGAATTGCAGGTCGTTCCCCAAGCGTTTTCCCAGCGAACCAGTTTGGCACTCTGAATCGTCGTTTCCTATCACACCCACAGATTTAAAAAAAACTATCGAAGCGCCTGCAGACCTGTAAATCTTTTGAAATCTGCGCGTGTGATAGGAAACGACGATTCAGAGTGCCAAACTGGTTTGCTGGGAAAACGCTTGGGGAACTACATGCAATTCATCAACGATCGACTTTAAAAACGATTGAGATCGTTCCTTCCTAGCAATTGAGATCTATTCAAACAACGTTTGGGATCGATTAGCCAAGCGTACCACATAGCGTTCGCGGTAGCGACTGAAACGCTTTCGTACCGCGATTGGGTACGGAACGACCGGTACACAGATCGTGGCTGTTTTAATGATCTATGTAACTATGGTTCTTTGACTATGTTCTATTTACCTTTAGATGACAGGCGGTACATATGCTTCTAGAGATGTATTAATAAAGGGAATAAAACAAGTACCAGATTGCAGACTTCTTTATGAGGTGTGTGCTTTCAACATTATAGTCTAATGAGCCGTTCAGGAAAACAAGTACCAGACTGCTAGCAGCCTAGAACTACAACTCTAGTATTCTATTTGAATCTGCCTCCCCTCTCAGAGTTTCGGGCTGGACTCGTACTTTAACATTTGAATTTATGCCTTGAACTAAATGGATTCCCACTGTGGCCATAGCAACGTTTAAAGAGGCGCTTTTAAGCCTTGAGACGTTTTGCATTTTTGAGGTGAGGTTTTAGCCTCAACCCTCAAAGTGGTTGGAGGCATAAGCGAACAAGGGAGATCCTTTCTTTCTACCCTCAACCTTGATGTGTTAGCCTCAACTCTCAATTTGTTTTATGTGCATTTTATTACTATTGTTCAAGTCTGAACTGGATTTGAAATCAGTCCAATTAAAAACATCCTTAGTCATGATTTGTTCATTGAGGAGGAGTCTTGGCCCACCGGTTATGGCATTACTGTGTGACCTAGAGGTGAGACGTTAAATTTTTGGGAGCGAGCTCTTGTTGAAATAACAAGGGATGGATTGCTCAATATACACCTTGTGGTGGGACCCTTCCTTGCACCGTCTTCTTGCGGTGACACCAATGTACACATGATGCATTCATAGGGCGTCAATATCACCGTAAAAGAAAGAAAGATAAAAATCAGCAAATAACACAAACAAATCTGACTGATTTGGAAGACAAATAAAATCAAACAATTCTGGGAGACAAATAAATCAGACAAATCTGATTGACATGTCACAAATCTCAGGATCTCAAATCCCTGAGAGATCTGAGATATTATTTTCTGATTGCAATCTTTGAATTATTGCTTTCTTTTAAGTTGTTTTCTTTATTTTATTTTCCAAACTCTGCAAAGCCTATTTAATGGCCAGTTGAATGCAGGGAAAAGGTATGCAAGTTTTTAGCAAGAAAAGTCTAAGGGAGTTTCTGGAATTCTCAATAAAAAATTCCAACTTGTGATAAAAGTTTGCATAATTATATTCTTCCCAATTTTCTGCCAAACAGTAAACATAGCCAACCCTTCCAAAGCTCAGTCTACCCTCCCACTCACCCGAAGGCCTGTGACGAGATCTTGTACACAAGCTGCCCGTATCAACACACTCCTGATTTAGGAAGAAAGATGAGAGAAACTAAGTTTTATTTCTTTAAAAACTAAGTTTTATTTCTTTATTACCAAACAATCTAAAAAATCTAGCCTCTCTCTCATCATTCTCACTACTCTCTTTCTCTCTCTCTCTCATGCACACACCCACACCTTTCTGTCCTCGCTTCTTTTCTCAACCTAACAAAGCATCAAAATAAAAACCATTTCAAAACCTCCTATTACGGAACTGCCTCGCCTGGAATATGATTTAAATTTTACTTGTGCAGGAACTGATCAGGTTTGCAATGGTGCATGATGGAGCTAAACAACTAAGGTTTATAGAGACAGTTATAACCACAGCAATCTCTTCTTCATCAGATGAATTAGAAGGATTAGATATAAAAGATAGAGAGTATATATCAACTTTATTTTTGGAGGTTAGAGGTTACTTTAAAAGTGCGATATATATCAACTTTATTTTTGTTGGTTTGAGTTTACTTTATAAGTGCGTATTTTTGTCTTTTTATGCACCCAAGTGTGTGTATGTGGTGACTTCATGAATATCTTTTGATTCTTTTATTCTTAAATGTTGTTCTGAAGAAGTCATGAGAAAATTTAATTTATTCCTGGAGTATCACAATGCTCTGTTTACAGGGGCGGAGCCAGGGCACTGGGCCGGACTGGGCCGATACAGAGAATATTTTTGGAAAAATTTTTACACGGAATTTTTTACACTAAAAATTTAGACATTTTTAAAATTTGGACTGGGCCAGGGCCAGGGTTGGCCCTCCCCTAGCTCCGCCCCTGGCTGTTTATCATTTGCTGGAGGACTATTCATTAGAAGGCCCAGGCCATGAGATCCCTCCACCCCTACAAACATTTTCTTCTTTACAGGTAGGCTTGATATGTGTCTATTTAAGGAGTGTTGCACTCCTATTTTTCAAAAGAATCAGTGGAAAAATTTTTACACGGAATTTTTTACACTAAAAATTTAGACATTTTTAAAATTTGGGCTGGGCCAGGGCCAGGGTTGGCCCTCCCCTAGCTCCGCCCCTGGCTGTTTATCATTTGCTGGAGGACTATTCATTAGAAGGCCCAGGCCATGAGATCCCTCCCCCCCTACAAACATTTTCTTCTTTACAGGTAGGCTTGATATGTGTCTATTTAAGGAGTGTTGCACTCCTATTTTTCAAAAGAATCAGTGGATATTTTTCTCAATTTGTATACTTTCAGTTATCAGTTTCTTAATCTCAACAAAATCAAATTGAGAAATTGATAACTGATACTATGTCCATATTCTTTTATTTGCTACATTATCCTTTATGAGAAGTATTTTTTTGTTTGCTACACTGTCCCTTTTTGGTAAGTTTTTCCTTTAAAAATATTCAATTACCCTTACTTTTTCTACTTTTCATACTTTTTCATCACCTCTCCTACTTTTTCTACACTATTCACTTCTAATATTTTCCCTTAAATTTTGTGACAACCCTATTCTGGCAAACAATAGAACATGGAGGGAGTATTATTATGTCCTTCGTCTAGCTAAAGCATATTATGACCCCCCCTGCAATGTATGCTTGACTTACCTTCCCAAAAGCTCGTCCATGAAAAATAATGTTTGAATATAGTTGCAGTCTGCTGAAAACATCTCTTTCTATATGTGACAACTTGCAAGGGAAAACAACACTTGCGTTGGGTTAACTCATGTTACAGACGCAGTCCCTCAAAAATCGCAAGCTTCAACTTTTGTCCACAAACTGATCCTGAAGTAGTGATTTTTGTCATTAAGGGACCTTGAGGGGAACCACTCTACAATTACGAAGCTTGCATTATGAGGGACTGAGTACCATGGGTTCAACAGGGGCTAAAAGCCCACCACCCAGAAAATAAAATAAAATAAAATAAAGCTTAACACAAGACCTCTTTTGTTTTTTCTGTCACACAACATTTTAGTTCCTAGATAGTTAATTATCAATTATTGCAGTTTGTTGATCTTTGTGGAACGGTGCACGATGTAAGGAAGGCATGGAATCTTCACATCAAATTGTTTCCCCAGTTTATAAGGGTCAATCCATTATATAAGCGCTCCACATTAAAAGAACGACAAAGCAATGACTGTATCCTGCTCAATCTGCAATCTGAAAAGCAAAGTTCTGGTCATGTAATCCTGCCACAGGTACAGGAGATGTTAACTTTGCCTCCATTGGTAGATGATAGACAGCCTAGCAGTGTCCCTGCTGAGCGAATTTCAACTTTGAATGATGATGTGCAGCCATCTTCTAAGGTCTCTGTTGAGTTTGAAGATGAATCTAAAACCGATGCATTGAAACAATTAAAATTAATTAATGATTTGGATCTAATGGACTGTGCGGCTAACTCCACATGTCAATCCAAAGAAGATGCATCTAGACCACTTGAGCCGATATGTGAGTTTGAACCACTATTAGGACCAAATTTGCCAACAGAAACATCTCAAGAAGAAGATAGGTCAATTAATGGTTCATGTCCAAAGGAAATTGAGCTTCAATGCATTATGGAATCAGTTTCTTTGGAAGAACATTCCTCAGATTCTCAGCGTAAAGTAAATAAAGCTCAAGTTCTCGTGGCATCTGATAATGGCAATAACAAAGAAACTCCCACAACTGGCAGTAGCATATCAGCAGAATTTCATAATGGTCAAGGCGGTCCTGTTGTATCACAATTGTCTCCTTCGCCTGTTTCTTGGACCCAAGGAAATTTGGCAGGATGCATGACACAAACTTGGGAGCAGGTTGGGGGTCCCACAAACCAGGATCAAGCGTTTAATCAGATGTGGCAATATCATTATCAGCAACAATATCAACAGTTTCTGCAAATGCAGCAGTCCTACCCCCATCTCCAACTGCAACAACAATATATACACCAAACCTATCAGCATCAACTGATGCCATATTTACAACAAATGCCACAACATTTTCAACAGCAATATCAGCAGATGGTGCAACCAGTGCAGCCGTACAGGCAAGTACAAGATCAGCAACTGCAGGCCTATAATCAGTATTCAGCACTTGCCTACCAATACCAAATGAATCCACAAGGATATCAGCAACTCTTGAAGCTATACCAACAGGATCAACAAGCATTACATGCCGTGCAGCAAGAACAAGGAGGATATCCCCAGGCTCAGCAACATCAAGAACAGGAGCAGCTAGATCAGGTGAGGCAGCAATATATCCGCGTGAATCTTCATAATACAACTTGAACATAAGTCTGGTTCAGCATGTGTTTGTTGTGTTGAATATATTTGTATATTGAAAATTCTCTGGTCCCAACTAAGAATACTGAGACGTCTCTATCTCAAGTTTCCTGTGTTTTCAGAAGTCTTTGCTTGTCTGGCCCCATGAGAGCTTATTGATTAAGAGCCATGCTTGTTCTTTCCCTCGGAGAACCTCAGATTTTTTAACCTTTTTTAAAAGGAAGGTTCTTGCTGCCTTATCTAGCCTTCCTCTTAATATATCGTGTATGATAGATATTAAGTTGGGCCAAACAAGATATATATCAATATGCTAGTATCATATAAATCTAATACTCTAATTCCCAAAAAAGTCGCATTTAGTCAAGGTAAACTTTTTTGTTTTGGTGAGTTCAACTCTTATGTCATTATTATTCTTATTTAACTTCTTTATCATGTTGGTTAACTCAATATTACCATTTTTAACTTGTTTGCGACTCATCAGCAAATTGCAAACAAATGTAGTGTAACTTGTTATGTTGTGACATGGCCTTTTTTCGATCAGAGAAGCTTTCAAATCCTTTATGGAGCACAAGGAACCACTTTTAAATATGGAAATGTGTTTATTTGTTAGTGACACTTTTTGTTCATGTATATTCAGAGACTAACATGTTGCCTCTTGAATCCCAGTCCGAACAAGTTATGGCACAGTCGAAGACAACAGCTACAGATGGATCTTGACGTCTTGCATCTACACATGATGACATGTAACTTCATGGAATCTTTCCTTCAAGTGTAGTTCAGTCACATCATAATCATACTTTGTATTTTATATGTAATGTTCTTCGCATAAAAAATAAGAATGAATAGTATACCTTCAAATTGATGCAATGAGACTATGAGAGTTCAGATCTATGAAAATTAATGAGCATTTAATGCATGGGCTCGCACCACGCTACAATTAAATGTTATGAAGTCCACCTTTATTTTGTGCAGTGTACCTAATATATTATATATATGAGCCTTTATATTCCCAAAATGAACGCACATGATGTATTATCATTTTCATATAATCGAGTGTTTTTAGCTGTGTTTGGAAGACTATTTCAGCCCACGATGGAATGAGTTATTCCAACTTCAGCCACTGATTATATGATTAATGTTGTTTGGAGGACTGGTTAAAGTGAGCTGGAACTGATGTAAGTACGAAAATGTTGATACAATATCGTAGGGCTGGATTCGGGCCGGGTCGGGTCCGGGCCTAGGCCCGGGTGGGCCGCCGGTTCTGAATAGGTGGGCCCGGGACTGGCTCGGGTAGCCACCGGGTCCGGTCCGGGCCTCGGGTCAATTTTTTTTCCTTTTCCTAATTAACCCCCCCCCCCCCCCTCAACCCCCAACCCCCCAAACCACCCCAAACGGCCCAAAACATCCAGCTCAACCCGAAAAGTTAAAAAAAATTGAAAAAAAAAAAATTAAAAAGCCTGGAACCGGGCCCGAACGGGCCGGGCCGGTTCGGCTTTTGGGTGACCCGAGCCCGCACCGGGAACCCCCCGGGCCGGGCCTACCCGGACCGGTCACTGGCCGGGCCACCGGGCCGGTTCAGCACAGTACCGGTCCCGGGTCGGGCCACCCGGCCCGAGTCCAGGACTACAATATCCTCAGTCGAGGGCCTCGAGGCATTTCTATGTTTGAAGAAGGGGTTGCTCTCATTATTCTCATAAACTGGATTCCAGTCTTCTTCTGTTTTAATGAAGGCTATTCAATGGGTAGCACAACATGGTTACTCCCTTTCCAAAAATACTCGGTCACTGAGTCACAAATATAAGGTCATGCATAGGCATGGGCAAGTCATGGCCGACTCTGGTCCAAGACTGGCTGGCTATGAGAAAATTAATGAGATCCGGGATCAGGACTTACATTTTTTGTTCTGATCCAATTCACTAGCCCGGTCTAGTTTCGATATCGGTCTAAATCCTGATTTTTTTTAATTTTCTAAATATTTTTTTAAAACACAGCAATTAGGTGTGAACCCGGTGTGGTCCAGGTCTCAGACTGGCCAGTCCTTGGAGGGAGTTAATGAGAATAGGGACTTCTGATCCCCCGGTCTATCCTAGTTCAAATTCGTTTTTTATAGATTTTTCAAACCCTCTCCCTCCCAGCCCCTTTACATCTTTTAAATGAATTTACACCTATTTTAAAGTGCTCTGAAGTCTCAATGCTTGAAATGTAAAAATCGGCCCTCAAGCCCAAAAATGGCAGCCGTTGAGATAAGCCCAAAATTGTATCCGAGGTCAACCCTCGCCAAGGATGGGAACATTCCCAACACCATGGCCAAGCTCCATGCCAAATTATCGTACTATGAGCTTAAGAAGTCTAGAGAGACTTTGGTACTTCGCACTAGGAGCCAAGCTTACTTACCTTCTATATAACGCACTAGTTCGAGCTCGTCCTCTACAGTCGAGTTCAGGACCTCGTACGAAGATTATGGATTTAGACATTTCAACATTTGGATTCCACAAAATTCAGGTTTACGTCACCACATGACAACTGTTTTAGGGTTGACATCAACGCATTCTAGTACACAAGACAAATTCTAGTGCAACAGTATCAATCAGCGAGTTGTTTTGATTATTCTCTCACCAATTGGCTTTACACATGTCATTAGATCAGTGAATGAGTTATTTTACTTGTTTCCCAAGTATTTACTTTTACACTATAAATATCACCTTCCAACTTGCGGAAAGTGTGTTCACATTCTCAACTCTTAAGCTTATTGTTACTCTACCAAATTTCTTACTCGATCTATATTTTGCATCTTTTCGACTCTCACTCGGTTTCTATCTACCCTCGGGTCGGCGAATCCATCACTTACTTTTAGTTATTCATTTGCTTAAAGTTAAATACACAGGATAAGCTTTCACTAATTTGTAAGATGTGGGATACATTTGCATATTAAAATTGAGTGGTTTCTTTCTTGCATGAATAATTATTGGGGGCACTATCCTTAAATACAAAGTGGTGGTAGTACTTTCTTAAAATATAGTGACAAGGCATCGCTTGCATGTTCTCCCATTATACTACCTCCGTCCCACTAAGATTGGGACAATTCAATTTACGATGCTTAACCGACGATAAAGCAAACAGACCCCTGTTCGCTCTCAAATTATTTTTAGAAAAAAAAATACATATTTAGAAACTACATTAAAAGCTTTACAAAGTCGCAAAAATCTGAATCAAATTTGATAAAATTTTGATATATAAAGTAAGAGATTAAGAGTGATTTGTGTTGACCAAGTAAATAGTGTCTGAGACAATTTTAGCGGGACGGGGAGTAATAAACATACATCCAGCAATGCTCATAAATACATTTTAAATACCTTTTATTTTTATCACTTCACTTTTACATGTCATTTACACTTTTCTCTCCACTCTTTCTTTCTCTCCTCTATATTTCCTTACCGTTCTCACCTATCTTCCATTTTTTTCTTCCATCTTTCTCACCTTCATCTTCCCCATCTTTTCCTCTTCATCGTTTTATTCTATCTTCCATTGACATCACAATCTTCATTATCTTCCATCATTATCATCTTTCACCTTCATCATATTCATCATTTCCTACCTTCACCTGCCTCATCTTATGTGTCACGCCCCGGACCTACCCGGACACGTCAACAACCGTCGTATAGTCCGAAAATAGTCAACCATAGTCCAACGTATTCGTACTATACTAAGCGTCATGAATATCATTCACACATGGTACATCCATAAACAAACATAATGTAAAATGTTCATTTGAGCAACACAAGTAGTATAAGAAGTGTTCAAGCCACATTTGGCAAACTTAGACATACAAGCCCCCAAACAGTCTATAAGAAAAATACTATACATGAGCATTATTAATATTGTTTTAAAATCAGAAACGGAGGAAACACAAACCAAGTCTTCCCTCCTAGATCCCCCCGAAGCAAACGGGCGCTGATAGCAAGTTTTAACTTCTACCTGAAACTGTGAGGTGGCCTCCCCCGTGAAAGGAAGATCAATACTTTGAAGCATTTGAAAAGTACGATGACAACTACACTGTATATAATCAATGTTTCAATTTCTAAGACCCTAAAATAGAGTGATATCACAATATGATGATAATTCCTCTTTAACCCTTATTATCTTTATTATAACAAGTTAACTCATTAATTTGTCGGTACGCGGGCCCCTTTTTATATTCAATTTCATTCATCGTTCGTACGACACAACCCGTAGGTCTTATCAATCATACGAGACTTGTCACCGGCTCACCGCTATCAAAGGCCTCATCGGGTCCTCGGGTCGGTGTCCAACATTCCGCCCCCAGACTCATACCCATCGTCCTACAGGAAGGTAAGGTCCATTCGGGGTCCTATCTTAAGTGTTACCGCAGTCGGGAGTCTCGTAAGATCCCCGGTTCGGACTTCACCCCTACACGTGATCACACTGCAAGTCCATGCTATCCAACCCCGCTCTTTAGAGTCAGGAAGGGCCATGGTTATAACGTCTTACCACACTTCACCCGGCTATCCTCAAAGACTACGAAAACACCCGTAGGCCAATCCCATATCTAGGATCAATTTATAAATCAAATTATCTTGAGTGGCCCTTTAGGCCTACCCCTAATATCGCTTAGAGTTCACACATCTCTACTTCATTTATTAAGTCAGCTTAAAGTATATCTTAAGACTACTTAAGGTCATATCACAATCCATCATTAGGATCAATTCTAGCATAAACTCATACTAATTTCCTGGCTAGTATCTTAATACTAGCTGGATTAATCTTGAATAATCAAGTTCAATTCTCAATCCATGATCATTTAACCCATTCAAACTTATTTTCCAACCAAAATATGATTTACATGCAATACACAAAATATCCCTTTTTAATCATCCATATAATCCTTATATGAGGTACAAAGTACTCCCCTGCCCCTTATAACTTTGCCAACTTTCCTTTTTTTGGGTTGTCTCAAAAACTTTGCCATTTTCCGTTTTAATCTATCAATTTGTGGCTCCTGTTATTTCTCTCTCCTATGCACAAATATCTGTCACGCAGTTTTTTCTTTATTATTTCACGTGTCGGTCAAATATGGCAAACCTTTAAGGAACAGAGGGAGTATATTTTAACATAAGCCTCGTAGTAAGTTTAACTAGCATGTCATCATTTTCACAATAGATAATCACACATAATTTACTCCTAAATTTGTATATCATGCTCTCTTCTTCATAGACCATAGTCTTCTCATTTTAGGCATTATTAATCATTAATAATCCATGAAAAATACATTTAATCACCTTAGGTAATCTTATGAAATCAACTCACTAATTATAAGCAATATTGTAAGTCATCATCACCTTATGATGTGCTTAACTAGCTGCCTTTGTGAAGCCCTTTGATCAATCCCAGTTCTAGGTTGATTGAAAATTACATAATGTCACGCCCCATACCGCAATCTAAGCGCGTGTACAACCGCCGTATAATCGAGTGACGTCACCCGCGGGTCAACCTCACTCAATCATACAAGGCGTTCGAGAAAACAATCCATCCATACTCAGTAGTAAACATACATAACAAACATCACAATTAAACCATTGAATAGCGGAAATATACAGCGGTAATTCATAGGCCACATTCGGCCAATAACATGGGCGCACAAGCCCAAAAGTAGTTTATAACAAATAAAAATATCCATGAGCAATGTTTGGTAATTTGAAAGAAAATGAGGAAGCACAAACCACGTCTTCCTTGATTTGATGTCACCCGTAGAAAAGTGCCCCCCCCCCCCCCCCCCCCCCCGAAGGGGTCAGTACAAGTACCGAGCGAGTAGCAGACTAAATATAAAATAACTAGCGTTTCAAGTATAAGACCCAAACATAGGGTGATACTTATGTAAATAGTCTTTCCCCCCAAGTTGATAAATACTTATTAGTATATATATACACTTGGAAAATACCTGATCCGTGGATCACTGTTTTGTTTGGGAAAATAGTAGTAGCCAATATTCTTGACTAAAAACCTCAACCCACCCATATACCTATGAGTGTATACGACTCCTCCTTGTCCAT